AGGATAAAAACTTCACAGTATGTCGCAAGAAAACCCGGGGAAGTTTGTATCATGCCTGCTATTGACGGGAGATTAACCCCGCTTAATGGTATAAATCACTATTCCATAAAGCAAGCAATCAACAATTGTAATTTATAATAAAAGATAACCAGTTATTAAAATATTAATGACTATTGATAATTATATTTTATACCGCTACTTTTATCATTTTGTATTTGATTGACTTTATTTTCAATGAAAAATATTATTTTTCCACCTAAATTCTTATTTGTTGGGTGTTTGATTGACAATTTCTTTCATGGAAAATATTTTTCAACTTTTGGTCATGTAATCATATTTTCTTCAAAAACAAAGAAAACATTTTCTTTAGGGGGTGGTTTTTATTCTAGAGAATTCATAGCATTACTCAAGACAAAATGTGCATATAATTAAAAATTTGGCTAGTCAATAAAATTCACATCGTTAACAGTGCGCGAATAGGTCAATCATAGCAAATGTTATGACGCGTCAAAGTAGACCGTTCCAAACTAGTATTTCCAATATTTCGATAACAAGCTAACTTTAAAAATTATTAGACGATAGTTCACTAGTCGAATACATAAATCTTCTATATCCTCTCCAGACTTATTTCGAAAATTATATCATAGACATATTGAATGATCTAAATGAATATCAAAAATAGTGAAACGTACGTCAAACGTGTGTATTTAAAAGAGACATATAACTCGTCATAAAGAAAACATTTTCGGTCTTTAGGGGACTCGATCAAATACTGTCGCATTATTTGTTGATAAAAAAAATCTTTAAATTGTGATTTATAAGTAAAAATAATCTATAATATCATAAATAAGCACCGCCAGCAAATAGTTGCAAGAATAGCACAAAGATTTGGTATCTTTTCACAATTGTAACAGTGTGGAGTCCAAAAAGCACTCATGATGGAATCATGCAACCACACAGAGTCCATATTCAACAACTTGTTGCCGAATTTTCAATTCTCTCTCTACAAGAAAAAAGTTCTTTAAAACTTCAATTTCAATATCTGTGATTTTTTACAGTTACTGACACATACATACATACATACATAATACAGAGAGAGAGTTTTGCAGTAGAGCAATAGTCATCTGTTGTTTACCACCACCTGGCAACTGCTCAAGAGTTCATATTTCCAAATTCCAGGTGTGCTTTCATGAGAAACGCAACTGGGAAGATAGGGTGAAAATTCAATTTAATTGAAGCTTGTAGTAAAAA